GATAGCTGATTCCAAGTGTTTGTATCATTAGTTTTCAATGAATTATTTTGCCGATTGTTTGCTTCGTGACATCACTGCGTATTAGGCTTTGTAGGGAAGAGACTAAGTATTGTTAATTTTATGCAAACATTTCCATTGGTTTATTCGGCGTCACAAACATTCGAGGTCAGTTACGAGTTAGTTTATCATCACAGAAAAATATAACCATAAACCCGGTAATTTAAAAATTCTTGTGGATCCGACAGTGAATCTAGTCCACCTCATTACACAAGGGTTGGCTTGGTTTGTATGACCAATCCGTTGTATAATTTGTTCTGTTCATTTGGCACAAAGGTAAAGGATGTAGGTATCAATTCGTTGCCAATGGCGTCGTAGGTACAATACAGTATTCAGTTCAGAAAGTACGGTGAAGAAATATACATGTGTTGCAGCATGCAACCCCCACACCTTCCTATTTCTTAACCAAGCTTTGCAACAGCAACATTTGTAGAAAATGTTTTTTTCAAAATCCATTGACTTCAGAATATTCTGATACTTCTTTATCTAACTCTGTAGTATTCGGAATAGGAATCGAATAGCGCGAACTCGGTATCGGACTGAAAACCCATTGAATAGCACAAAGTCAGGTAGAACCAAGACGAGCTGTGGATACAGTTAGTTCTATTCAGAAAATCATGGAAGAACAAACAATCATTGGTCGATTCTTGAATGTCCAATCGACAACGATATGGTTTATTTGTTTGCCTTCTTGCACTCAGCCAATCCAGATGATGCCAATTGAGACCAAAGGGTTGATCGGTTATCCCGTTTCTTGATTGGTTACCTGGAAGCTGTACCGCGGTGCGTGCGTACTCGTTACGATCACCACAACTTTCCTCCCACAACAGTGCCTCATCAATTTGACTTGCTTTTCGTTGTGATCTTCTTAGCGCTGCGCTGGTTGAGGCTTCCGATTCCGCCGGTTCTACTGCATCTTCGTGTTCAACATCATGACATTGGGGAACCGTAATGTCCGATTCAGGCAGTTCAGAATTGTTAGAATTATCCTCTTTTTCATGGGGTTCTAATGCACCGACATTTCGTTCGTCTCTGAAATGTATCTGGTCGATGTGCCGTCGGTGGACAGATGTACCTGTCAAATTGGTTATCTCCACCATTGACTAACCCAAGTTTCTAGTGATGATACCACGAACCGGATTCAGATCGTTGCCCTTGAAGTATGTCACATCAGTAGAATCCATACATCTCAGGGAAGACCTCAGGGACTGTGACTTAAATAGCTTTGCCGGACTTTTTTTGGTAGTCACACGTGTCGTGTTCCGGTATATAGTTCCGTATATAGTCAATCGCATTTGGGTCTGGAGAAACGCCACAAGGCAGCTGGATCAGACGGCCTGCCACCTGCCCTCTTTAAAGATGGCGGAGAAGCTCACGTAAGAGAACTTGTGAGATTGTTCTCGAAGATATGGGAAACTGAAAGTGTACCCCACACATGGGGAGAATCGATTGTCACACCCATCTACAACAGGGGCTGTCGCAACGCCTGTTCCAACCACAGGGGCATAGGTCTGCTTACAATAGCGCCGAAGCTGCTGACGACTGTTTTATTACACAGGTTATGCCCATTCCGTGAGAAGCAAATCCGCGAGGGGCATGCCGGGTTTCGTGACCATCGTGGCTGCATAGATCAATTTTTCACCCTCCGTCAGCTACTAGAACACCGCCACGCATACAGACGGCAAACCATTGTCGTGGTTTTAGACATCAGAGTGGCTTTCGACTCTATCGATCGTCCTGCATTGTGGAACTGTTTGCGGAGATACGGAGTACCCGAGAAGTATGTATCACTCCTAAAAGCGCTCTATCACCAGACCTCGGGGAAGGTTTGGGCCTATGGTGATTTTTCATCCTCATTTCCCGTCACCAGTGGGGTACGACAGGGTTGCCCTATCTTTCCGTTTCTCTTGAACTTTGCCATAGATGATGTCCTACAAAACGCGTTACACAACGTAGCGAACGCTGGCATCGAGCTTCTTCCTGGGGACAGAGTCGTAGACTTAGATTATGCCAATGATATTGCCTTACTGGGTGACAACGCACCAATGATTCAAGAGTCGTTGAACCGTTTGGCAATTGAAGTTACTGGCTTTGGTATGTCTTCTGCACCTTCAAAGTGTAAACTATTGTTGTAAGATTGCACTTTCGTTGGATAATGACACTCTGGAAGTAGTCGAAAGCTTTGTCTACCTTGGGAGTTGCATAACTGCTGGCGGAGGTGTGGGTGAGGAGATCTCTCGACGCGTGATCAAAGCTAGAATAACGTTTACTAATTTGCAGTATCTTTGGTGCCGGCGTGACATATTCCTTTCACTGAAAGGGCATGTATTGCGCAACGGTACGCACCGTGTTGCTCAATGGCTGCGAGACTTGGCCTCTCCGACCAGATCACGTCCAGCGATCATCAGTCTTCGACAACCGCTGTCTGTGCAACATCGCCCGCGTATGTTGGGAGCATCGCGTGAATAACGATGAAGTCAGACGACGGTTGCTTAGATCAGAGTCTTCCTTTGAGCAAAATAATTTCACTGTATCGTCTTAGGTGTCTAGGACACGTCCTACGAATGCCTGAGCACCGTCTGCCACACCGTGCACCATTCGCAGACATCGGTCCAGGTTGGAAGAAACAGCAAGGTGAGCAGGTTATCACATGGCACCAAGGATTAAGGAGATTGTGCTCGGATCTGGCTTCCGTTGGGGGTTTCCGTCTCCCCATCTGAGGCCCCAAAGATTCAGATTGTCTTTGGTTGGAGACATTACGCGACATGGCATCGAACCGAAGTCAGTGGCGCGAATGTACCTCTCCTGTTTGCAATCCCAAAATGAACAAAAAAACGAAAACAAAAACAACTCAAAATGGGTTACAGCAAACAAAAAATTACTCCCCGAACACGACTGTTTTATTTTCCCCGCTTTTTTACCTATATTTTTTCGTTCACCCATGAGTATTTTGGCACTGTGTCTGTAAAGATTGGTGTTATATATATATATATATATATATATATATATACTGCAGAAGGAATCAAAGTTGGCGCAAATGGAATTTACTCAATAGGTTATTGAGGGCTTTGATGGAATCCGCACACTCGAAAATTCATAGTATCATTCACGCCGGAGCATGTTA